GGTAATAAGGAAAGAAAAGCATAGTTGAGGAGTGTTGCTAAGCTTAACAACTAGAAGTCATATTACCTCAGGCATGGTATTCCTATTCTTACTTCATCCCCAGACTTCCTTTGTTTCAGATATGGTAACTTCAGAGACAATGTGACTATGTTCAAATCAGCATCGTTCTTGACTTAGGTGCTATAGGAAGTCCCAACTCTTGGTATGAATCAGTTCATATGTTAGTAGGCAAGTTTATGAATCAGAAGAGATAGTAAGAGTAACCCTATTCCATACCCAGTCTAGTCGTCATTCGAGGACGAATGATCCCAAAGGGGGAGGTAATGTAACACCCCAATTTTTTTGAGCTAAGACTCTAACCATTCTTCGTTGTTAGTAAGATATTGCCGAGGAATTTAAATTTCCTTAGGTGTCAAGGTCACTAGATGTAGCACCTCGAGTTCCAAAAAGAACTAAAGAGAAATTCATTCAGCTCATCCGTAAGTTCTTCTAAGTTTTGGGTGAACTTCAAATGACCATAACTTTTACCACATAATGATTTAGGTGGCCCACGGGGTATCAAATAGAAGATCTTTGAGTCATCTTTCCAACGCCACTAGATTTGATAAAACCCGAGTTTAGATGAGAGAGTTATGACTGTTTTAGTGCAACCTCTCTAGATAAGACCTATTCACCTGAACAAAAGAGGGGTATTTTAGTCTTTTCCTAACCCCCAATTTGTCTAAGCATGAATTACACCCAATTTCGGGTCTAAAATGATTAGAATCAGTTTCATTCATCCCCAAAACGTTTAGGGATTTAGAGAGGAGGTTCAAGAGGAGAAAAAGTTCAACGTTTCAAGCGTTCATCCAAGATTTCACCAAGAACCTAGTTCTTTGAGGTATGTAAATTCTCATAGTGTTGAGTTCGTTCACCCACACGCCAATCATGTGATTTTTTTAACAGTAATTTCGTTCTTGAGGTTTAATGATTTGAGTTCTTGATGAGTTCTTGAGGTTTTAGCTTCATTCCTTGTTAATGAAGTCTTTCTAAGTTCTTGAGGTGAGGATCTTTCAAGTGAGTGATTGTTTTCGTAGGTTTCTATTGTGGTTTTGATCTAAGTGTGTTTAATATATGAATCTAAGATAATTTGGAGGAAATCAATCGAATCTAGATGAGGTAAGGTTGGAAAACTGAAAAGAAAATTCATCGGAATGTTCTGGGGAGGGGGTGGCGTGGCGCGCCCCAGATGCGCCAAGGGGGATGGCGTGGTGCACCTGCAGTGCACCAGAGAATGGGTTCTGAAGTTTAGGGGCTGGCACCCCGCACCACTTAGTGCATCAAGGTTGCCAGGTCCCCTACTCTTCCGTCCTTCTTTCCCTTTGAGTTCTATTAAAGATCACTTCTTAGTTTTTACTATCCAAACCACATATAATCATCGAGAAATCCTATATATCATAATCATGATCTCTGAATTCATAATTCAAATTCGAGGTAGAGTTAAGATTAAAGTTTGAGAAAGTCCCTTTGAGTCTTTTCGAGGAATCTTCTACAATTAATTATAATTTGTTTCAAGACTCGAGTAAGTGAGTGTCAGAATGACAAGAATGTATTCATGAGTCTACATTATTATTGAGATCCTTGAATTGAGTCGTTCATGCCATAATTTCGCATGAACTCTATGATTCGAGCATTCTTGAAATGATTAGTATCATTGAGTCTTTTAGTTCTGGAGTTATTGAGTTTTGAGTATTGAGTTCTACATATGGTTATTGAAACTCTTGAATTGAGTCGTTGACATCCATAATTCGACATAAACTCTATTTTGAGAAGTCTTTTATAATTATTTATAATCTGTTTAAACACTAGAGCAAATGAGTATGAGAATGACGAGAGTCGAGTTTCATTTTGTTTTTAAAATAAATATAAGGGAAGTAAGTATTCCCAAGAGTAAATGTTTTACATTTAAGATGAGAGGAAACTTTGATTTTGAATGAGTTAATTAGGAGTTTTGAGCACTATCTCTTTTAAGAGGACCTTTTGAGTAATAATCTCAAAGTTTGAGGATGAGGAAATGTTTTTAAACATATGAGCATGAGTTATATTATTAGGAGTAGTATTGAGTACCGATATGGGGATGAGTTCCGACAACTAAAAGTCCTCATAAACCATGTATTCCAACATGGGTAAAGGGTCATACTTTTTAGATGATTCCTTAGTTGAGGATGTCTTATACTCCGCAAGGTGTAGGACAATTCTGGCAGCATGGGAGAGACGCTGTTTCATCAAATAGCTAAAAGTGATGGTTGTCAATTAGAGGATCTCCCAAGTAATAGTTATTATTGTATTTCTATATACAATTGAGTTATAATTGTATTTTCACGTACAATTGAGTAATTATCTACTGTTTTAAAAGCTTTTCGTATATTGCATCTTTTATTGTTGCTTTATCCTTGAGTTTAGTATCTTGAGTTGAGTTTCTTGAGTTGAGTATCTTTGAGTTGAGTATCTTGAGTTGATTATCTTGAGTTGACTATCTTATCCTTGAGTATATTATCTTTGAGTTGGGTATCCTATCCTTGAGGGGAGTTTGAATTGAGTTGAGTTGAGTGAGTTTGAGAAGAGTTAAGTATGTTTCTTTTATGTCAGTTCAAGCTTATGTTTATGCTTTAGAATTCTCCTTACATGCTCGTACATTCCATGTCTTGACGCCATTTGGCCTGTATCTCTTATGATGCAGATACATGTATGCAGGGTCATTAACAGGCGCTGCGTTGAGACCACTTACAGTCCAAATTAGCTTTGGTGAGCCTCCTTGCTTCCAGAGGGTTCCACTTTTATTTTCAGTTTGTTAGGATGTCAAGGGTCTTGTCACAATAATCCTTATGTAATAGTAGAGGCTTCATAGATAGTTTAAACTCGAGGAGTCAATCATTATTTCCTTTGTTGTTGTAATGTTTTGAGTCTATGATGCATTTAACTAATACTTGTTAAAATATTTTTAGATGATTATTGGAGTTGAGTTTAAATTATGTTTTTAAGTTATTTTTGCATCATGAGTTTTGATTTTGCTTTAGTAAGTCTTCTATTGAGTAATGAGCCAGGCCAAGGGTTCGCTTGGTAACCAGCAATGGTTTTCGAGTGCCAGTTATGTCCAGGGTGTAGGCTCGGGGAGTGACAAATATTTCTTGCAATCTTCAATTTCTCTTGTACGAAAGAACAATTTATAGGCCTCTCCAGTGGAAAACTATCCATTTGTATTCACCTCCAAATTGCTCAAATTCTCAAAAGCTACACATTTTTAATATTTCATCCACTACTCTAGAATTTTCTTCCTCTATGTAAAATGAACATTCCAAGAATTCAACCATGCGTTGAAGCTGAATTTTTGGTTTCTTTTTTATTTCTTCATACATTAAGAAAAGTATTTTGTTAGGATTTTCTATGTTTTGTTTTCAATAATCCAACACATGATTGTAAAATGGACCATAAAGGGTATCCCCTGTACAAAAAATATCAAACATTTCTTCAATGGAATTTTTATATTTGTGATGAAGTAATAAGTTATTTGCAAAATTCAACATAGAAATAAAAGTGTTCCTAGGATTCATACATAAATAAACAAGTTTTGTTTTAGAATACTGGACTGATTTTGGTAACAAAGCAAAGGGCACATGAGTGGTCAAGAGTCTAGGTTAAGTAAAGGTTGAAAAATCAACGGCTCGACCATCAGTATACAATGTCTTTTATAGTTTAAATAAATAAATATAATAAAAGATAAAAGATATAAGATATACTAAATTGGATGTTTTAATATTAATTTAACATTCAAATTAGAGAGTTCATAGATAGATAGAGAGATAGATATTATCTCATATTTTTCACATATCGCTTCTTAACCTTTGGCATACTTCCACTATTTTTCTTTTCATTAGTAATGGTTAATAGAGGAAAAAATTGGAGAGTCTCAACTATTATAACTACTGCTACTACTAACCTTTCTTGATTATACAAATTACTTGTAATTATTTCTCTTTCCTATATTTTTTCCCAACTAGTGCCCTCAAGAATGACAAACATGTGACTTAGTTAGTTTATTATGTTTTAATTGTTCTTTTTTATTTTACAAAAATAAAATATTTCAAAATATTTTAAGTTATTTTTAAATATGAATAAAATAGTTTTAAAATACTTAATGAGATATTTTTATGATTTACGAGATCTAAATAATTAAGGAACACACATTTGAGAATATGAGGGGCTAATATCTTTCACATGATAAATTTATTATGGCATACTTAGGGGTGCTTGTGGACAATGACATGAAAATCCAAGGAAATCTCGCTATTATTTTCTAAGGAATAAATAATAGGCTATCAAATTGAGTATCTTATACTTTGCATGCACATGTACAAAACAATAGAAAAAGTGATAATCGACTAATCTATAAAAAATAATTCAATATTGAGAAGCCAATTATATTAAAGGACAAATATTATAATAGAAAATATGTAGAAGATCAAATTCATTAAAGAGTAAGAATTTTACAATCTTTCAGGCATATATATATATATATATACATATATATATCGAAAAATATCAAACTTCTAATATTCGGATATTAGAAAATATTCATTCATAATGTTACTAAGGTCATGGATTATCATGCGAAGCGCGAGTAAGTTATCTAGTTATATATAATGTTTGAGCCCTAATTTTTTTATTTGGCATTTAAAGCAATACTTGTGGACTTATATAATAATCTCCAAATAAAAAAGAAAACCAAATGCCTACAACCTGATTGACACTACTGTAGTACTAATAAAAACATGAATTCTTGTGATAAAATAAGGAAATATAAATTTAATGCTAAATTTGCAATAAAGTTGAGTAATGAACAAAATATTATTAGAATAATAGAACTTTTGTTGTATGTTCTTGTTACATTACTCTCAAACACAACTACTTCAACATTGATTTTGAAAATAAATAATTGCATTTTATAGCATATTAATGCCTAATCAAACATATGAAAACTTCAATCCAGATCCTTGAAACTTTTCTTCAATGATATGATTCAGTTTATCACTCATCTCTATAGTAAAATAATTATTCCAATCTCCAATTTCTCCTCTACGAAAGAAAACTTTATATGCCTCTCCAGTTGAAAACTTTCCATTTCTATTCACCTCCAAATTGCTCAAATTCTCAAAGCTACACATTTTTAATATATCGTCCACCACTCCAGAATTTTCTTCCTCTATGGAAAATGGACATTCCAAAAATTCAGCCAGGCGTTTAAGCTGAATTTTTGGTTTCTTCTTAATTTCTTCATACATTAAAAAAAGTATTTTGTTAGGATTCTCTATGCTTTGTTTCCAATAATCCAATACGTGATTCCAAAATGGTCCATAAAGGCTCACCCCCTTACAAAAAAGATTAAACATTTCTTCAATGGAATCGGTATCTTTGTGATCAGGTAACAAATTATTTGTAAAATGCCACATAGAAATAAACGTATCTCTAGGATTCCTACATAAGTAAACAAGTTTGGATTTTGAAACCTGGACTGATTTTGGCAATGAAGCAAAGGGCACATGAGTTGCCAAGAGTCTAGGTGAAGTGAAAGTTGAAATATCAACGGTTCGACCATCAAAATAAAGTGTATGCTCCAAGAATGGAACAAGAACATGAGGGTTCTCAACGAGTAAAGGGTGATTAGATTCAAAAATAGGATGTTTCACTCGATTTACTAGAGCAAATAAAAGTGATTTTAACCATGTAGTTCCTGATTTTGGAGTTGTAACGAGAATGATATCACTATCTTGAACTTGAAATTGTTGTTGAAATGCAATCACAGCTTGAAGAAATTTTTGTGGTACCCAAAAACCTTGATAATTGTAGGCATATGATCCAAGCCATCCTTTTTCTTTTGGTAGGGTAGAGAGTAATTTCTTAGTCTCTTCACTTAGGTTATCCTCTTCTAAATATTTGGGAGGAGAAGTTGTCATGATTTTGAGGATTGAGTGTTTTCTTCAAGTTTGGGGCTTTTATAATGGATACTTATGAATAATACACCTATCTCCGTGAATGTTTAGTCATACACTTCATGTGAGCTCACCACTTCACATTTTTCATGTGTTTCTGTCAGTTATAATTATTTTGATTAACTTATTTGATTTATCTAGAGAGTGTTATTAATGTGAGTGTGTCAGAATAGTTAGCGAGGCACTCAAGATTCATATTAATTTCAAGATGAATTTTTTGATGTTTATTAGATAACTATCCTTTAATTTATAACTATGAAAATATTATTTAAACAATAACTAAAAAATAATCCAACTGAACTATATACATCCTCTGTTACTTTAATTACCCCTGATAAACTTTTCACTCTTTTAAAAAATAAATATAAATGAAGTGAATACTTTATTGTAATATCCATATTAATTTATATATAGTTTAAATAGACTTAGGAACTATTTGGGAAATTAATTGTTAATGTTATGGATAAAAATTTAAGAAAAATTATCTTTCTCTTGTGTGCTAAACTAACCAAATAAAAGTAAAAAAATATTTTTATACGATGAACAAATAAAAGTGAACAAAATGAGTATACAATACTCAATTTGTTGACTTTAGTAAAACATTTCATATGTATTTAAAGCTTGATATTTTCTACCATGGTCTATGAAAACATGCATGAGTATATATAGACTATTGTGCTTCTTCTTTTTTTCAAAATAATTTCTGAATTTATTTGATAACGAAAGAAAGGATTGAGAAATGTATGTGACGATTATCAGAGGCTAACTGAAAAATTGAGTGCAATGGAGTGTCATTATCATTAGTAAATCAAATTGACAATGACAAAGTTTGGCGTATAACTCTTAAAAAGTAAATGATAATGATAGTAAGTACAAGCTTCTATATGATCGAATATAATTAATTGGGTATACTATATTATAATAAAAGTACATCATCTATTCATAGTTGAACTTAACACATTATTATATTTTGCGAACATTCAATAATAGGGGAATCCCACCCTTGACCCCTCCCATTAATTGAAATAAAGAGTATGTAATAATGGTAAAATACCCCATATTCATCAATGGCAAAAAAAAAAAAATGTTGTCTTTAACTCAATCGTAAATAAAATTGTTGAATGTATGATGAATTCAATTGTGGATGACGCTCTTGATTTAATGATTTATGAGTTAGTGCACCACCTCCTCATATGGTAGGCCTGTCCCTGATGATGGTCACTTTCATTATTTTATTATTTTCATCATAACTAGTGTGGTAATTATCATCACGCATAGAAGCATCAATGAAGTATTTAATTTTGCAGGTACTTTATAATACAATAATTTTCAAGAACTATCATTACTTTAATTGAAATAAAGAATACGTAATAAGGGTATAATACCCCATACTCATCAATGGCAAAAGAAAATATGTTGTTTTGAACTCAATCGTAAATAAAATTATTGAGTGTAAGATGAATTCAATTACGGATGACACTCCCGATTTAATGATTTATGAGAATGGAAGAGTAGAAGAGTCATTGCACCACCTCCTAATAAGGTAGGTTTGTCCCTAGTGATGATGCCTTTCATTATTTTATTATTATCATCATAATTACTGGTGTAATTATCGCCAGGCATAGAAGCATCTAAAATGAGTTTTTTATTCAAAAATTCTTTAAATTCTACTAATAATTATTTAATTTTTCAGGTACTTTATAGTAGAACAATTTTCAAGAACTATCATTACTCTAATGACTCAGTCGGTCATTTTGGAATTTTTCATTAAATTGCCATTCTAATCCTCCTGACACTGGTTCCAATTGATATTTGAATGAGTTCTGAAATTGGTTTTGAGTTTTGATTGAAAAGTTAAGAAATACAGAAGTTTTGAAAGTTGAAAGACTAACGTTGTTGAAAAGTGGTTTTAGCTGTCTTTTTAAATTTCGAGTCTTGAAATGGAATTCCATCCATTCCATTAGTCCTGAAATGTGGAAATTGGTCTATGTGAGTTTTCGGTGTCAGATTCAGAGTCTTTTCATGGATTTAAGGTCCTAAGTTTGAAATTTGTATTTTAGCCTTTTTGGGTTGACTTTGGTCAACATTCAGGGTTCGGATGCTAGGCTTAGATTTTTAACAGTTCCATTGGATTTGGTGATGATTTATGGTCTAGGAGGGTCTTGGTTAAAATTTTAGAGGTCCTGAGCTTGATTTGGCCTTTTTCGGCGTTACGTTCGTTTCTTGTGTCATGCCTGGATTTTGGGTCAAAGAGACCTCAAATTCATATTTCTATGGTTCCATTGAGTTTAGACGGTCTAGTTTAGTTGGATAGCATTTATTATTTGTGTGTACGGGGTTCGAACGATTATTGAAGGTTCTCTCGATGAACTAACAGTTGGTTGAATCTTCTTATATCTCATGTGCTCGCTTTAGCAAGAGGTTGTTCCCTTTCGCAACCTTTAGTAAAGGCCTGGTCACGAAAGAGATAGGCCACAGATTTTTTGGGGGTACACTTATTCGAACCAGGTTCACAATCACGATGATTGTATAAGCGACCCTGGGTACGCTAAAACGACTTCAAAGAGGGTTTTTGGCTCGCCATTTTGGGGTTTTGTCCCATTTTCTCTATTTTGAGTTTGGGAAAACCCCTAGAGGCGATTATAAAGAGATTTCTTGTGCCAAATGATTTGGATAAATCTTCGTTACCATAAAACATCAATTCCCTTTTATCATTTGTGGATTTTAACATAAAAAAAATTGGGATTTTTGATTAGCAATTGACATGTTTTCAAGAGCTTGAGTTCTAAGGTAAAATGGTGATTGTGAACTGATTTTAACTTCTTTTTCGAAAAACATTCACCAGTGAGTTCCAAATGACTTGGGAAACATTTTCAAGTAAAGATTTTTGCATTTAAACCTCATATTTGGAATTGGGGTTTTGACTAGGTTTGACCCACTTTTTCAAAATGTATGATATGGGTGTTGTTATTTATTGAATCTTATTGTGATTACTCGTTGAATTAGATTGTAAGGCTTTGGACATTGTTCAAAAAGGAAAAATACAAGTCTCAGATTGACTTTTGATTGAATTAAGGTAGGTGAACTTCTAAACCTTGTAAAACTTGTAACATATTGTATTTCCTTTGATTGTGTGTGTTGGGGAGGAATTGGAATGAGGTGAAGGGTTCAATTACTCCGCTTTGCTGATCGTAATGAATAAAAAAGGGGAATAAATTAAAAAGACAATGTGTTGATAGGTTTGTTTTGTGAATTCCCTTGATGATGATCCTAATTTGTTGATTGCTGAAATGCTTTGATAACATTATTGTGGACTTGAATTACTTAGAGTTTATTGTCTCTTACTTATGGTGTGAATTTTCCTATTTGTATTGATTTCTATGCACCATGATGAGACATGTGGTAATTATGCCACTGAAAAAATTGTTCCGGCAAGTGATATTATATAATGTCAATGGAAAATAGTTCCAGCTAGTAATATTGTGCCGATGGGAAATGGTTTCGGCAAGTGAAGTTATGTCAAGACGAAGGAAAATGGTTCCAACTAGTGATATTGTGCCAATGGGAAATTGTTCTGGCGAGTGATATTGTGCCGAGGAGAAATGGTCGCGGCAAGTGTTGACTATTATGATTAATCTTCTTGATACTTGTAATTGATCTACTTGATAATTGTGATTGACATTCTTGATACTTGTTGATTATTGAATTGTGATGGTTGGACTCTGATTGTTATGCTTTGTGAGTTGTGTATTGTAAACTGCTAGGTTGGAATTATTTCTATTTAGGTTGTAGTTTCTGCGGTTCGGTTGGGATTAAAGGAGTACTTGTATTCTAGCCTAGCTTTACTTTGTTTAGTTGATTACTTACTGAGAACCGTGCTATTTGGTATTCACTCCTTGCTACTACATTTGTGTAGGTTGTGAGCCCAGACCCATGTGTATCATTCTTCTTCATCTTTCTCTTAGGCTCTTAGATCATACAATAAGAGGTAGTTGATTGTTAGCCCGACGACCCTTTTGTTCCTTATTTCATGCTTTGTTCTATTTGAGAAACAAAGACATTGAGACTTGTACTTATCTTTCAATTTTGATTTAATACATTAATGTCTTGTACACATGACAACCATATTTTGGGATATTTTAGAATGACTACGTTTTCGGCATTTAAGATATTACTGTTTTAATTTCCGCATTTCTTTCGTATTTTCGGATGGAGGGTGACTTGTCTTGTTGGGATTAGACGAGTGTCATCATATCCATTTTTTGGTCATGACAAATGGTATCATAGCCCAGGTTCATACGTTTCACGTGTGTACGTGCCAACTCTAAGTAGAGTCTCGAGAATTTATATGGAGACGTCTGTACTTATCTTTGATAGGATATACAGACTATTAGGAAACTTCCTTTCATTCATTCTTTCTTATGGTGTGTGGTAACATTAGCTTGTGCTTAGTTTTTGAGTGTCCTTTTGGCAGATGGCGAGGACCATAACTTCTATTTCCGGTGGTAGGGGGGGTATCATGACCAAAAGTTCACCCTAGTCGTGATATGGTGTATAGGATCCCAAGAGGCCTTACGCAAGCCACTTGACACACATACAATATCATGAAATAGGCAAAAGTATAAGTTAAACAAAAAGTCTCATATTAAAATAGTTTACATGTAAGTGAAAGTCTAATTATAGTCTCGACAAACCCATCTAGTCCATTAAAAGAACCGGTTGGGACGTAATCTATAACACCCTGATAGCTTTCTCAAGAGCACGCACCAAGGTTTCTCCGGTTCCAGCCCCAGAATCGAAAGATTTCTTTGTGAAATTCGTCACCAGGTATGTGGGATTTCATTAGTGGGTTCCTTTTCACCCCATTGGGTCCCTAGATTTCAGCCAGAATCTTGATTCCCTTAATATTATCTAGACCTAGGGTTTCTTGAATGTTAGAAATTGTTGGATTTTAGCTATTAGAA